ATGAAACAACAAAAATAACGAATTACAGTCGGGACTTTTTTCAACCTTCCGAACTTCTGCTGTCACAGTGTTCTGGGTATCCAGATCCCTTGTGTTTTAAGTAATTCCCCTCTCCCCTCTGGGCTAATCGAAATAAAAACGAAAAATTTCAATTGCGCAATTTTTTGCGTGTGTTCGTATCCCCGTCTATCGCGTCCTATTTAGGTTGAAATTTTGAACAGTTAGTGATCATATGATAAAATTCTTATTGATGTGAGTTTGGTTTGGCTCTCGTTCATGAAGCAAGGACTTCGCTGCGCTCGGTCCATAGATCATGACCCCGAGCCAAGTATAAGTTCCCGTCCGGCCCTTCCACTCAATCAATAAGTACTCAGTATTTCGGTTTCCTAGGACACAATTTTTATCTCTGATGATGTAATTGAACAAAAAAAGTGAAAAGTGTTATTCTTTTTTATTCTTTTTTATTCTTTTTTAAATAGGGAACGTCAGGCTTATGTGTTGATCTCTTTGAAAAATTTGATTTTCATCACAAGATCGATCACAGTACAACTTAAGTTTCTTTCTCTAAACGGTAAGCTATACGTGCATGATAATCGACTCCTTGTAATCGTGAACTTTTCATTTTCTAACGGGTGTGATTTGCATGATCGAAGGCAAAAATGCTAAAAAAAACTAAGTGACTGTATTCGGTTTGGCACGTCACACTTTACTAGGGATGAAAAATGAATCATTATACCCTGTTTAATGTGAAACGTCAGGCTTAAGTGTTCATCCCTTTAAAGGGATGAACACTTAAAGTTTCCTTAACTTCAGGAAAGTTTCTAGAATGCTGTAGCACTAATTAAGGTGAATCTTTCATGTCGGGCTAAGACTGTTAACATTTAAAAGTCATTGAATACTACTTTGAGTCAGTATTCAATATACGGTCACCACTAGTCACCACAAAAAACCCAAAAAACTAAAATACTAAGAAAAGGGAAACTAGATATTGTACTGATGACTATATTCCTCGCCTGCTTCTCTGAATACTCGCTATGAAAAATGATTTATTTGCTTGTGGCTGAATTTACGTTTATTATGCACATAATGGTTAACATTATTTACAATGATGTTAACCATTATTCGTACTATATAGCCAAATTTTGATGCTTAGCCGTAAAAGCCATCACCCCATTGAGACCCTCCTTCTACTATAGTGAACCCATAATTCTCAAATGCGACTTGTTTGGCTATGACCGTGTACCCTTGGAAAACGAAGTTTCCCCGAATTTCGAGAAATCTGGTAATGTTGACATAAATTCTAAATTAAACGGGAGGCAAGCTTGGAAAGCTTGCAATTATATATTATTTTTCGAAGACAAGGAGGAATATTAGCCATCATGAATTTTCATCATTAAAATGTTGACTCGGTGTTAGTGCCCTCTAATGGCAATTTTCTTGTAATTTTCTGAGGAAAATAGGAAACGAAAAGGTAAAAGCAGCG